GTACCTTGTGGAAGCGGCTCTGCGCTGGCCAATGGCCCCAGGTGCAGTTTGCAAATTTGTCTTGAAATGGGGAGATCCCTGACAGGGGCCTGGGTGGACCCGAGGAGTGGGTCTGGTGGCTCTGGGGCACTGCAACCTCGCAGATCCATCCCACAGCAGAGTGGCTCGCTGCTCCCTCCACCTCACCATACACTTGCTGTACAAGGGGTGTGGTGGTGGGTTTCTGAGCTGGCACCCACACAGCGCAGGCACCGCAGGGGTGTCCACCCGTGTGGATCAGGGCAGCTCCCACACCCGTGGCTCCTCCTGTGCCTGTCACTGGGATGCTCAGGGAACAAATCAGGGATGAGACCATGCCCATGCTTTCTTGGGCAATCAGGCATCGGTATCCATGCAGCCCATTGCAGCCACCCCACGCACGGTCAGCTTTGCTTCTGGTGTGGGCCCAGTGGCTGAGGTCCCACCACCCACTGCTGCCAGGAGAGCAGGCTGGGAAGCACCCGGCCTTCCTCCGGAGCAGGGACCACACAGAAAATTCCCGTGTGGCAGGGGCTGTCCGCCAGCCGCCCTGGGCAGAGGGGAAGGGCTGGGTTAACCTGCAGGCTCTCCCTTGCAGGTGGCTCTTCAACCAGACAGTGTGCACCCTCTACGCCTTCTGCGGGGTCTTGTTCGGGCTGTGCAGCCTCACCAGCCTGACGGTGCTCAGCACGGTTTGCTGCCTGAAGGTCTGTTACCCAGCATATGGTAGGTGCTGGGATGCATTATCTCATCTGCACTTACAGCCCTCTCTGTTAACATAACCCTTTTTCTCCCTTTTCTTATGGGCCAGATCCACCTCTTCTGGGAAAGCTTTGCCCCAGGGCAACCTATTTCCAGTCAGTACATGGGTGCAGCAGACTCTGAAGGCTTTTATCACTTGTGTATTCACCCCCATCCACTTGCTGTTGACCCCCAGCACCCTATGCCCATGACCTGTAAGCCGTCCCTGCCTCCAGAGCCTGCTTCACACCACGGCTCAGGAGCATCATCCAGAAAAGTAGCAAGGGGGTTGTCCTCTCTCCGCAGAAAAGTCCCAGCTGCTGTATCACAGCAGGTCACTGGGTTTTGAACATCCATACACGGGCTCGAGCTTAGGCCAGAGTAGACTCTGCGTCTGGGCAGCCACGAGCTCTGGCAGCGCAGGGAAGAGCCGCTTTCCCATTTCCCTGGTGGGAGAGTCATGGGCCGAATGTATTTGATCCATGGAACTAATTAATACAGGAGGGCTGGGCTTGCAGTGTTGTAGCTCACTTCTGTATCCCTGTTTTCACCTGGACTTCCTCCACTGAGCTAATGTGAATGTTTGCAGCTCTAAGCTTGGGCACCAGCTCTGCGTAGAGGACGCGCTGCAGAGAGCTCCCGAGGAAGCAAGGGGACCCAGGGATGTCCTCTGCACATTTACAGCTCCTTCTGCTTGGAGTTGCTTCCTAATTTCCTCAGCTCAGCCCCTGATCCTCCATCTAGCATGTGTCTTCAGAACAGGCTTCGGATTAAAGACCGAAAATAGAAAGAAAATAAGAAATCAAAGATATTAGTTTGATTTGCAGACCAGCACCCCCGGGTGCATCCTCAGCCCCTTTCCCGTGGCTCCTGCCCGTCTGCCCCAAGCCTGCGGCTGCTGCCAGCTGCCAACATGCTTTGTCCCCGGCAGCTGACAGTGCTGGCGCAGAGTCACCCTGGTGACGGGCCAGCACGGCAGCTCCGGAGATCACGGAGAAGGTGGAAGGAAAGATAAAGATAAAAGCTGGCTGTTGAAAGGCAGCCCAGGTACCGGTGGCTTTTCCCGGCGCAGGTTCTGCTCTCTGGATGAGCCGGCGCTTGGCAGCCTGGCACCTTGAGTTTATCTCCCCGTCAGCCCAGCTCATTTTCTGTGAGGAAATGGCTAATCTCAGTGTGCTTTTAATTGCTTAGTTTCAAAGAAAAACATTACTCCTCTGTATGGCTGAAGGTATCACTTGATACTGAGCTCTTAGAAGATCAGGAAGTTTCAGATTTGATGGGGGATGGGACAAAAAAGAAACAACCCGCAAAAAAACTCTAGTCTGCCAGAGAGGAAGAGATACTGCAGAGGATGGTGTCTGGGGTGGTTGTGAGCAGTCCTGGACTCAGCTCTCCCTGCCCCATCCTCAGGCTGGTGCAGCTAGGCAGCCGCCCTCCCTCCCAGCTGCCCGTGGGGCCATGGGTGCAGCCGTACCCCCGTGGGACCCTGGCTTGGATTCCACCCCCCGGCCATTCCACCTGCAGACACACGACCTCCCGGCAGTTCCCGAAGCTGGCAGAGGCTGCACCGTGGATCCTGCCGCTTGCTGCGTGGCTTGCGGCAAACCCTTAAGCTCTGGTGGGTCCTTGGTCCGTCCACCTGCCCAAGGGGACAGGAGGATGCTGGGGGGAGCGCTGGCATGGCTGTGACTGCTCCGTGGCTGCGGTGCTCAGCCGTGCCCAGCAGCTCCTGCCCTGCCCGGGCGGCCCTGGTCTCATCCCCAGCGCCGGAGGCCACAGCCCATCTCTCTGCTTCTCCTTCCCCCAACCCATGGAAGCCATTCTCACCCTGATCCCTCTGCCGCAGGCAACAAGTTCTCCCCCAGCCACGCCGGAGTGCTGCTGCTGTGCGTCTGGGCGTATGCCCTGATGTTTGCCACGGCCCCCCTGGCCGAGTGGGGCAGCTACGGCCCCGAGCCCTACGGGACTGCCTGCTGCATCACATGGAAAGCCGCGAGCAGGGAGGCCACGGTCTACATCCTCGCCCTCTTCATCTTCTGCTACCTTCTCCCCTGCCTCCTCATCCTCGTCTCCTACTCGCTGATCCTCCGGACGGTGCGGGTGTCCCGGAGAGCCGTCAGGCAGCACACGTCCCCCCAGCGCAGAGCCCACAGTGTGCACGGCCTGGTCGTGAAGGTAGGGGAGAGCTTGGGGTACCCCCCGGCCCACCGCCCCGCGGGCAGGCCAGCACGGCACGACCCTTTCTGCCAGGTTGTCTGCCGCTCCCGATGGATTCTCCAGGTGTTTGGATCAGGGAGGGTAATAACACGTTTGTCTTCATTTAAAGCCATCAGGTGAAGGAGATTTCATTTTAAATTACATTGGAAAAGATCATAAAAGGAGCTTGCATGAGTCATTGTTCCCCAGACTACAAGCTAATACCATAATTTACCAAGCAGTGCCCAAAAAAAAAAGACGTGGGTACCCTATAAAAAAAACCCAAACGTGAAAGAAAACAGCTTGCAAGCCTGGCCTGGCAAGAAATGTTTGTATCTGCTCAGAGGAGGGGGGTCTGAGCATGGCCCATTTCCAGAGCTCCTCAGTCAGTCTGCACGCTGCACACAGGTTGCTGGAGGGGTTTTGAGTGCTGCTGCGAGGCTGCTGGGGTCTGATGCTGGCCAGGTCCCTGTTGGGTCACCGGGTGCTTCGTACCCATCAGCCGCAGCGGGCTGAGGCAGTTCCCAAGTTTCCTGGGTGGGACGGGCGGCAGTCACCTGGAGCAAGTTCAGGTTTATGTGCCCACGCTGGGACATGCTGGGTTGCTGCCCTGACCTGACACCCCAGTGCTCCAGCGTGATGGAGGCTGAGCACCTTTCCCTGGAGATGTGACCGACTGCTCAGGGTCCTGTTGTACATGGCTGAGTTTTGGGAGGGATCAGCATCCCGCATGTGTGCAGGAGGCTTATGGCACAGCCACCTCCGTCTCCTTCTCTTCCAGCTGAGCGTTGCCGTGTGCCTGGGATTTCTGGCTGCCTGGACCCCTTACGCCATCGTTGCCCTGTGGGCAGTCCTCGGCGACGCCAGCCAGGTGCCAGCGTTGGCCTTCGTGCTGTCAGCCGTCTTTGCCAAGTCCTCGACGCTCTACAACCCTTTGGTGTACCTGCTCTTCAAGCCCAACTTCCAGAAGTTCCTCTCCAAGGACGTGGTGCTCCTCCAGGCCATCCGCATGCTCCTCTGCTGTGGCTGCCCGAGTGCTGTGCTCCAGCCCTTCCCATCCTCGGGCTTCGGTGACCGCCCTGGGACTTGCAGAAACTGCAACGACACTTTCGAGTGTTTCAGTAACTACCCCAAGTGCTACAAATTCCCCCAGGCACCCGGCAGCTCGCCCCGGCACGCTCCCCTGGCTATCCTGGCTGACGGAGCTGCTTGCCAGCCAGGGCTGAAGAGGACAGTGCAGGTGATGGTGCTTGTCACACGGAAAAGGTCGGGCCTGGGCACGGCGAATGTGGTGGGGGAAGCCCTGCCATCGGATCTCATGAAAGACCTTCTCTGAGCCCGGCTGCGTCCTACCAGCACGCTGGAAGACAAACACGTTTCTCTCACCTGCGCATCCAATGGGTCCCCAGCAAGCTCTGCAGATGAAGTCACATGAAAAATTAGGACCAGCCTTGCCTCCTCGGCTGGTTTGGCTCTGGCAACTCCGAGCCTAGTCTTTGCACTTGCAAAAAAAAAACCCCAAAAGCAGATCCCCCCAGTGCCTGAAATCTGCCCAGGATGCAAGTCCAGGGTGCAGTTTCTCCTGCGGCTTGCTTTCTGGGCCCTTGGCCTTTGTTTTTCCATCCTGGTGCTCTGACGACCAAGTAGGAACTTGGTTGTCTTAAAAAACTGTGCCTGGCCGGGAGGATTGGGGGCCAGGAGGCTCCGAGAGGCATCCTGCCTCCAGCCCCAGCTCCTCCAGCCCCAGCTGACCATGTCCTTTCCTGTCAGGGAGCGGGACCGTGCCGCTCAGCTACCTCACGTGGGATTAGGAAGCATCATTATATACCTCTCGAGAGATTACTCTCTGCACAGGCTGGATCACCCCGCTCCCTCGATTTGAACGCAAACCCACCACCACCCCATAGATCGAAATGGGAGCTTGTCTTTAAAGATTTGGAGTTAAAATAATCCCAGTGTGAGCAATAGCAGCCCCAGGTTGTGCTCTCCAGGCAGGGAATGGCGAATCTGTGGCCAAGCACCATCCTGGAGACATCTCACACTGCCTGCAGTGCCTGGGCAGTAGCATCCCGTGGGCTTGTAGTTGGCATTTGGAGATCAGTGCACCCACGGGAAGAATTTGGGGCAAAAAGGACCGGGAAGTTGTAAAGGGCCCGATGCAAAGCCATCAGCAGAAGGGTCCCCAGATTATCTGCTGTGGCAGACTGCGATGTGTTCAGTCAGAGGCAGGGCAGGCTTGCAGACGTCTCCCCCCAGCAGCGTGCTGGCAGCCCCGCCGTGAAGCTCTTCCGGAGCTGAGCTTGGGGAATCCCCATCTCACCCCTCACACGGAGCCACTTGTGTGCCCACTTGCGGGCATGGCGGGAGCTGGTTTGGCTTTGCTGGGGGTGAACAACACGGGCAGGGTGCTGAGAGAGGTTGGTTATGCTCCCCAAAATTAAGATGCATCCAAGGAGATGAGAAGAGTCAGTAGCAGAGGTGGGAAACTGCTGCCCTCCGGCAACCCGCCGGCCAGTTATTCGTGGGAGCCTTTACGTTGTCACTGGCTGCTGAACAAACCCACACCACGGCCCATCGCCAGAGCTACAGCGTTACATCACGGCCATGCTAGAGGGGAACAGTGAACTGTTTTAAAAAAAACCGCCGCGAGCGCCCGCCCCGCCCAAGCCCTGCCTGCGGGCTGACCCTGAGCTCTCCTGCCTCCCTCTGCGCTCCAGATACAGATGGTGCTATTTTTAGCAGTCGCTCCCACAACCGGGATGTATCGCTGCCTTTTCTTAGCGCAGACACAGCAGCCTCTTCCCTTCCGAGGACGCGGAGCACTCCAGAAAGACCCACGAGCTGCAGGGCCGGGCAGGAATACAGGGGGGTGTTCCCCGGGGGAGCAGCAGCAGATAAGATACCCACCGCGGGTCATTTTAGCAACCCGGATATGAAGAAGAGGAGCTGGGCTTTTCAGCCTCAGCGTTGTGGCCCAATTCCAGCGTAGGTGGCACTGGGGCCCGCGCGAGCTCTGCGGTGGGGAAGGCGGCTGCTGCGTGCGTGCAGAGGCACCCAGCGAAGGGCGCTGGGGTGCAGGCGGTCCTGCCCCTGCTTTCTGGGTCTGCCATCGTTACAGAGCTGCACAGCTCTGATTTGTGCACGACAGCATGGCAGTCGTGGCACTTGCTTTCGTCCCTTGGTCATTTCCACTTAGCCACTTCACCGAGCAGTTTCCCCCTGACAGGAGAGGGTCACCGATACCTCTGGGGTGCGTCCTCCAGGGATGGTTTTGCCCATGCGTGATGCCTGCAATGCAGATGGTCGGGGCAGGGCAGGGTTTATATACAAGAGCCAAGTAATAACTGAAAGGCCACGCAGGGAGCGACACTCCTGCCTTTGCTTCCCATCCCTGCTATGCAAAAAACCCCCCACCCAACCCAAAAATGTGCATTACTTGCAAAACGCTGCTAACAAAGCAAAATCAGGGCAGCCAGTGAAAAGAGAGGACAAAGTTTCCGACGTGGGTGCAGGTTTCTGGGAAGGTCAGTCACTGCCTGGCCCCGAGCACGGCGGCTCGGCCCCTTCCCACCCCACAGCTTGGGGCACTGCTCCCTGTGCCCGATCCCAGCCACCCCGGCACCCGCGGGAATCACGTGCACCGGGTGTCTCTGCTGACTGTTCATCACGTTCCAGAAACTGTACGTTTTTAAAGTAAATTCTCTCATGCAAAACTGGCGTTTGAGCTGGTTCAGTTGTGTCGTAGCGGCAGCGCTCCGGGATAAATGGAATTATGGCTGCTGTGGCTGGCCCGGGCAGGGGAGCGTGGGCAGGGTTGGTGCTGTGGGTGAGCGACTGCAGGGACAGCTCGGTGTGAGCAAACCTCTCCTTCCTCCAGCCAGGACGAGGCAGCAAGGGAGCAGCCAGAGGTGATGGGGCACCCAGGGCCCACGGGCTGGGCTGTTCCCTTGAGCTCTCCGCTGGCCCCGGCTGTACCTGCCGCCCCTCGCTGCCCTAAGGGGAGAGGAGCTGCCAGAAGGGTGGCCAGGGGCTGATTTCCCACCGCAGGACAAGGACACAAAGGGCTGCTGCCACCTCCTGTGGGGTCTTGGGGCATGGCCACCCTGGGGAGAGGTGAGGGGGCCAAGGTTGTGACCCCAGCTGGGCTGTGGCGAGCTCCGGTTGGTGGTCCAGCCATTGATGCAGTGTCAGGCCCTTGCTTTGCTTACCACCCGCCCCCACCGCTGCTGTGTTCCCTGATAGCCAAAAAATCCCCGTTAGCTAAAAAATACTGTATTCTAGAAATCACATAAAGGAAATAAGAAAAAAAAAAATCCTGCAAATCTCCCAGGTCCCTTGTTCCTCCAGGAAAACCCCAGATCAGCGTCTTCATCTTCAGTTTGGTGTGAGAATGCGTAACACCGAGAGCACGTAATACTGAGCACGTTTTGATCCACAGATGCCCTCCCGCTGCCGGGGGTGCAGGCAGCAGCCCTGCAGCCACTTAGCAAAATCCCAATCAATGTAATTAAGTCCATGCACTGTGCCCAGGCCAAGCAGCGGGGCCCAGGGGCCCTCCCTGGCAGGACCTGGGGCTGCTGTAACCCAATTTGATCAGTGTCCCCAGCTGGGAATGGTGCCATCAGCTGCCACCAATTGCCTGCGGACAAGTTTCCCACCCCAAGGGCAGATCCCGGGCGGCTGAGTCTGGGCAGCGAGGAGGATGGTGTCTTTGCCCTTGGGGCTGAGGTAGGGTCTGCTAGCTGCCGGGGTTGGGCAGGGTTTGAGGGGGATGGGGGTTGCTGGGTGTGGGAACTGATTTCTTTAGCTTCTGGTGGTGTTGCAGCCTGGTCCCCAGCTCTGAGCCGGGGCGGTGTATTGGGGGCTGCAGTGCTGTGTTGCTGCTCGGGGGGAGCCTGGTGCTGGAGCAGGGAACAAGCCAGGGCTGCCTTGGTTTGGGTCTGGCGCCTGGGCAGGTGTGCTGCGGTCCCTGTGTGTCCCACCCTGAGCCAGCTGAGTGAGAGCACTCTGCCTGTTCCCAGGGATGGCTTCATTTTCAAACAGCCATCGTGTTCCGTCACCCTCTTGAGGCTGAATGCGCTGAGGCGAACGCAGACACGCGTGCTCCATTGATCTGTACGTATCTAAGCAATATGCAGTTACCAGAAGCCCAACCTGAGCCAGAAAACCTGCAGCAAGAAACCTGTCTCGAGGAGACAGGTTCCTTCCCAAAGGCAAGCCGGTAGAGGCTGCTCACAACCATAAGGCAGTTTCAAAAGGTCACTGAACCATTCTGGGATTGGTTTCTGCCCAAATCTCCTGTGACTTCACATCCGTCAGCGTCATAAAATCGCTTTGGTGCTGACCCCATTGCACAGGGCAGTAACCCCTGGGATGTCCGTGTTTCCCCACTGGTAGTGCTGCAGGGCTTTGGGGTATGTGGTTTGCTCACCGTGACTCTGCTAATAAACTGCAGAGCAGCAGCATTCCCAGGACACCTTCTCCTTGGGCTGCCTTATCCGAAAGGTAAGCAGGGGAGCAATGCACTCCTGCCCCTCCCCGGAGAGCCCTGGCCTGGCAGGGGTTTAGGCTTGAAAGAGAATTCAGGGGTGATCTAAGGCAGCCAGTGCGTGTCCACACAGCATTCCCACCACCCCTGGGGACACGGGGCTCCTCAAATCGGTGTCATGTCCCACCAGCCTGGGCTGTGTGTGGGGCCAGACCCTGGAGCCATGCAGCATCCTGCAGCTGACTCCATGATAGCGGGAATAGGGCTGGTGTGTGATTTGAGCCCCTGTATTAATTCACCAACCGGCATCACCCAAAGGCTCCAGGCCCCAGGAGCAGTCTCTGGGCCACGTTTCACAGGGATCGTGGTCAGACAGCTTCACCTCCAGTGAGGGGACTGGTGCCTTCTGCGCTGCCCTCAGAGCTGCTCTGAGACCACAGGGATGTACGTGGTCTACTGGTCTGCTTGGCTTTCAGTTTGCCACGGACACAACAACCCAGAACAACCGGACGTGCCCTGTAGTCTGGGTGCATCACCCCAAATGTCCCCAGGGCCCACTGCGAGCTGTGTTCCCCCAAACCAGGCAATTGCTCTGGGGTCTGAGGGCACAGCCGCGTGCTTCACGGTGGGAGGGAAGCCATGTGTCCTAAAAAGGGAAAAATGGGGAATAAGGTGACTGTCAAGGAAAGTCAGCGAAGCTATGAATGCATATGAAAATTGGCCATTGAGACAAGGGTAGAAATTTCTTCCAGTGCTCGCAGACTATGGAGGTTAACGTGTAGTTTGAGGGAAAAATAAGTCTTAGTGCCAAGCTGTGACAAGTGTAGTGGCATCTTTGGAAGTTTAGTGCAGCTGCTTTTTAAATACATCCCCTCTTCCCCCTCCTAAACATTCCTCCAGCTTAATTGCTTCAGAGTGATTTCATTACTTCTGGCTGTGGTGGTTAATTGAATGTATAAAACCCTCTCTGCTGCTGTGCTGCCGTCGGCCTCCCCAGCAGGACTGGGAGGCAGGATCAGCCTCCCCAGCAGCTCCACTCTCTAGCAGGTCCCACACAAGCTCATCCAACTCCTGTCCAAGTTTAAAGGGGGAATTGCTGGCCAAGATCCCATCGGCGTGAATCTGAGCTGCCCTCGGCCCACACCGCTGTTCCAAGTAATGGCCGGTGATCCCTCGCACCCAGAGCCTCTGTACCTCCGAAGTGGGTGGTTGCACAAAGCCGACGGCACGCGTTCCCTCTGGTGTCTGCTCCGGCTGTGCCACCCCCTGTAGCCCTGTTCTCGACCGCTGGGCAGCCGGAGTCTGTGCCGCTGACCTTCAGACGCAGCCCTGCAGCGGGTGGAAACCTCCTCCCTGCAGCGGGTGACCTCACCCACAGACCGCACAGTCGCTGGGGAAAGGCGGAGGGTGTTTACCAGCGACGCTCAGAGCCCAGAGCTGCCTGCTGAGCTCCCCAACAGCAGAGAGTGGCCATCGCTTTTGGTCTTTCTGGGGCAGCTTTTAGATTAGGCTGTAGAAACAGCTTGTAGGTGCTTTAATGTTTAAAACAAATGAGTGTCTCTTGGTGTGGTTAAAAATAACACCTTCAGCATGAAGAAACCAAGGCGGGGAAAGCTGGAGGAGTTTGCTGGTGAGTCACGAGCAGGCTGGGCCGGGGTCTGGCGCTCAGGCAGCCGGGGCAGCGGTGGGGCTCGTGGGTAGCGCAGGTTGTGCGCAGGGCAGGCTCCACGGTGACAATCCCTGTTCGGTGACTGCCACGCAGCTGTCCTGGTGCCCACAGACACGTCACGCTGCGGGGGACAGGAGTGAGGGTGTGTCTGCAGGAAGGATGCACTGGGGCCGCATCCCGCGCTCTGCTGTGTCTTACGGGTGAGGCCTGGGAGCTCTCCCTTGCTGAGCGTCGGCCCGATGGCACGAGTGGACTCAGTGCAGCTGTCCCCAGGGGGGATAGGGGGAGCGGGGCGGGCAGGGGCATACTCCTGCCTGCTTCCCTCCTTGTCTAGCACAGGGGTTGCTGTTGGGCTAGCCAGTCTGTAGCTCCAAGAATCAAGTGGCTCAGAGGGTCACTTCTTGGCTTTGCAAAGAGGATCTTGACCACTGGGGAAACTGAGGCACTCATCAGGCCTGTGAGCTGGCAGTGACAACATGGCAGAACGGGTTTGCCATGGGTTTTCCATCCCACCTGAGCCATGGGATGGAACCTGGTGAAAGCCCTGTTGGTTTGGGGAATGGGATGCGCTGGAAGAGGTGGAAAAATAACTTCTGGGAGGCTCTGAGCTGCCAAAACCCATGCTCCAGATCCCCCTGCCTCTTGTTGGCACGGCTCCTCCGTCGTCCAGAGAAACAGCTGCTGGGTTTGCAGCCCCGCAGAACCTGGGGGCCTCTGTAACTAGTGACGTCTGCAGCGTACTTCCTGGTGGTACTTCCTGGTGGCTCCACATAGGAGAGAGCAGGAAAAAAAATTAGGCTTACGCTTGCACAAATTTTCAGATGACACCAAGTTAGGATGGGGCTGCTAGTACTTGTGGAAAGAGGATCAGAGTTCAGTATTGGCCTGAAAAAATAGGAAATAACCTAAAGTACGTGCAAGGCAAGTCAGTAAGGAGACAGATAATGTTGCTTTAAGTGAGGAAACCCAAACTGTGAAATGACCGTCACTGAAAAGTGAGCATATTGATAAATGAATGTGGAAATCAGCCACTGAAATAATGGTAAAAACTTGTTGGTTCCAGAATAAGTAAGTTAGTGCATATTTTGAGAAGTAGTCTCAATTCCAAGTTTTGACAAACGTAGTATTTTCTTAAACTTTACGAGAGTTGCTTTTAAATTAAACCATCCAAATTTTCTTCAATTTAATTGCTTCAAAGTGATTTCATTAGTTCTAGCTGTATCAGTTAATTACTTCAGTTTAATTTAAATGATTCCCAGCAAATCGTTGATGTGGGTCGTTGCCAGCAGAGGGCAGGGAAAGACCGCTTTACCTTCACGGAAGCTACCACAGGGATATCTGCTGGTACAGACCTCTACTTGTTTCACAGGTGACCTATTTCACGAGTAACAACAGGAATTGGAGGCTGTTTTATACTTCCAGCATGACTAAGGCCTAGCGCTAAGCCCAGTGGAATAGCACCTAGATCGGTGTACACCTCCTGGTGACAAGAGAAGCTCCCAGAGACCTTCCAGCTAGTTCAGATGTTAAAGCTGAGAAACTGAGTAAGGTGGATGGGTAACTGAAATGTAATTAAGTCTGTTGTTGTCTAGAAGGGTGAAGAAAAAGTCTGATTTTTACACAGATTCTTTCCTAAGGATAAAGTGAGCATCGCTTGCTTTCTGGTCAACACCAGAAGCTGAGTCCATGCCCTGTTCAGACTTCCACCAGTACGTGTTTTGGCTCTGGGAGTAGCAGAGGAAAAAGGGATTCCTGCATCAAGATGTGTTGTTTTGGAAAAACTGCTCAGACAACACAGGTTCAGAATTCTAAATACATTCTTGAACTTTTATTCCTCCTAGCAGGTAAGCAGTTGATTAAAAACCTTAGTAGCAAAACCAGACCAAAAATAGAAGTCTCACACTTCCAGAAACAAACATGTGCACTCGCATGTCAGGTTAACATGCAGAACTACAATTCACATTTCAACAGTGAATATGCAAACGAGGAATTTGGGTTGGCAGCGAGAGCGAACTGCTGCAGGCGTAACCACGGCGAGTGTGCAACAATCACTGCCTGCTGAGGTGTGTGCAGTTTGGAGCTAACGGAATAAGTGGCCACGCAGGAAAAGTGAGGAGACGCTGCTGATTTTGAAACGGCGTAAGCAGAAGAGGGAAGGGAAAAAAAAAAAAGATCATTAACAAACAGGACAGCTTAACGAAAGCTGTTTGGCCCTTCCCAACCGAGGCTGCTTCAGCAACGGGCAGTATTAACCTTCTGTACCGTGGTTAGACCTTGTACACTCTTCTTTTTCACATACACATTTAACTCGGCATGTAAATGATATATAAATGCTGCTTTTGCTTCAACTAGAGCTTAAAAATTCCACTAGTGAATTCTGGAGTGTTGGGGACACTTCATGAATTAGGCAAAACAAAAGCTGCTGTTTTCTAAGATTTGAAGCCCAAGTGCCAGCAAGGAGCAACTGCCAATTACAGAAACCCAACAGCAACTGGCTTTAGAAAAAAACCACGTTAAAACAGAATTTCAAATGCAGTTCTGCACTGTGTCATACAATCCCCCGCTTCCCCACACCATGCTGTAATAAGTACTATGGAGTAGATCCCTCAGTATAATGAAAAATAAAAATCCCATTAAATTAGAAATCAAGAATTTCTTGATAAACCCACTGGTTTTCAGGTGCTTCCTTATATGTGCAACATCTGCTTTTTGTCAAGGTACCAGACTCAAAATGTGCAAATCCCATAAATTCCAGTCAGATTCCCTTACTAGTGCTGAAAAAAATTCACAGTATAAACTGTCAAGACTCTCCGTGCTGTGAATGAATATATATGTATATTAAAAATAAAAAAAGTAAAGTGCAGTTCGTTGTGTTTTGCAGAGTCCTACAAGGGCTCTGTACTACAGCAGATTTCTTAACAAGAAGGAGACCCACCCCCAGTAAACACTGTCATTTCATGGCAGGTGTTTCTGCTTTTCAGCAGGTGGCATGAAATGTGCTATGCTGTAAAATCAGAACGAAAGGTTCTCCATTCAGTCCAGTGTCTGACACTTAAGGGTTTCCATAACTGACTGGTTAATATCAAGCACAGTAGATCTGCGGTTTTCTACCTAAACGTGTAGCACAATACATGCCTGAAATCAGAAAGGTCATCCTTAGCTTTCCAGCTTTTGTGCAGTCCCTCTTGATACCTAAGTCCTCTTTCTCATGCTCTGAAGTCCTTGCGTTCCTGCTCTGGTCTGCTATAGCAGCTCTTGCTCATCGTCTTCAGATCCTGAGGGCCCTTGTCGTACCTCTTCATACCATTTGTTTGTGAGGGTTTTCATCTGTATGCGCCCGTGATGCAAGTCCTAAGGCAAAAGCAAACCACAACAGCTTGTTACCTAGCTACACCACTACCTGTGTGTTACAGCAAAATAGATTAGTTCAGTGCGTTCCTTCGGAAACAATCTACTTCTGCCCTCAGCATACAAAGCAATTCTGTTTCCTACCAGAAAATATTTATCAGGTGTTCAATCAGTAATTATTTCCAGGGACGATATCTTTGACAACTGCTATTTTTACCTGTGTTTTCTAGTCCTGCTCTGTGGGTTTCAACAATCCTCATGCTGTCTGGATGGCCTGGCTTTGAACCTCACTCCTCTCTACGCGTTCCCAGGGACAGTGGGAAGCTTGCGGCCTGCTTGGGGGATTCACATACTTATTTTTTCTAGCCTTTGGCTGCTATCTGGATGGCAGCCTGTACTTTTGGTTCCCAGTGACAAATCACATGCTTATTCTGGTTTCTTGCTTCCTTTCTGGTTTTGGAAAAAAATGCCTTTAGATTTTGTGGGGAAGTGCTGAAAGCATTCTTTTGAAAAGAAAGGTACGAACCAAGAGGAAAAATAGTATGTCTGTGCAGGCTATGAAGATGGAATGTGCACACTTTACAGAAAATTATCAACTCCGCATCAAAAATGCTTCATTCTATGGTAAATTGGAAAACCAGTGAATTATACAGCCAAGGAGTCTCAGGCTTCTGAGGCGTGGAGTGAAAATAGCATAGTATTTACACCTCTTGGAGCCACTCAGAGTTAAGTTACTTGTTCAGTCAGGTGTCATTTTGCATTTACAGTTTCCAAGTCTTGGCCTCCCCATGAAGAAGTCTTGAAAGTGAAGGTTGCAATGCTGGGGCATATTTCCAAGATTAAAACTGCACTCTGCAGAAAAATCACAGCTCCAGAATTACAGGACAGTACAGTAAAAGGCATTAACCTTCTGTGATAGCACTTTAAAGGCTCTGCGTGAGTGGCAACAGCTTTTTCTAGCAACAGTAGGAACCGGTAACTCCTGATACTCTTCATGGACTCTGCAAGATTAAAGGTGAGTTCAATAAATCCATACACCTTTAAAAGTTTAATTGCGGTGGCCCTGAGAGGTGTTTGTTTAATCCAACCTGCAGTTTCACAATGCAGCTTTTCATTAGAGCTGCTCTATACAGGCATGAGGAATACATGCAATGGCCCACTGTTCCTAACGCACAAGTTGCACGGCTACGCTGTGAGCCTGGAGTGGTACAGGGTGAAATGACAACCACCTCTACCCTGGCTTCTTTTCTTCACAAGAACAGGACAGACTTACCTCTTGTGTGAGTCTTCTAGTGAAGAAAGGATTCAAATACTTGGCATCAAACCACATAAACCCTTTCAGGTCCTGGCGTTTTATGTACTGGGCTTCATACTCCTCCTCTGTGAGCTCTGATAAATGTTCGGATTCTATGGTATTTCCCTAGGAAGACAACAAATATTGGAATAACCTGAGAAATACAGCAGTCATCCCTCCAGCTTGCTTCAGTTCCCTGCTCTGTGCTCTCACAACCAACTTCCCTGCTGAAACAAAATGGAAAGTATCACCCCCACCTACCAGGGTTTATGGCTGGACAAATCTGTCCAGTTCTTGATTCCCAGAGCCTTAGCTTCCCTTATCATGCTGAAAGGTAAAAGGCTTCAAATGTTCCATATTTTGGATTGTTACTACTGCTGAGAACATATACCTAAACTGCAGGTTTTCTGTGTGAGCTGGACAGTGATTTTATCCAGCAAGTAGCACTAATGCCACTGTCCCACTGAAAACAAGCCCTGTATCAGAACACACCCTATCTCTGTGCTCTTCCTACACACACCTCCCTGCATGGACAGAGTAAGATAATTCTGAAGGCTGCAAGCTTTTTGAAACCTCACACCAAGAGTGGCTGTTCTTCAGATCCTACATAACAATACCGTGCATGTATTGTTTGACGTTTTGGGGAAAACCAGGCAAAATGCTCCGTGATACTTTATATACTCCAGCCTTTTGCACATGAGGTTTCAGACTGGCTGTCAGTTTTTTTCAGTTCTCTTTCTTAGGTGGAAACTGCTGTAAAATAAACCCAGTCAGAGGGGTGCTGCTGTTACCACCTTCTCATGGCCTTTGCTTTGACTTTTTCAAAATAATTTCCATCTGTCTGTCATGATTAATTCATGACTCACTCTGTACTAGCTACTTTCCCTCTGTATATGACTCAATCTTCTATCATCTGCTTTATGCTTTTGCAGAGGTTACTTTAATTTGTAGGGATCAACTTATAATTGGACTGACTTAAGAGACTATTTCTTCTCCCTTTGTCCAGACAGTTATTTTGTATAAACACTAACCAAGCTCCGTCTTTGGGATATTTTAAAATTACATTGCTTGACTTTTTCCTACCACCTTGGCTTTTTCCATTGCTTTCATTTTACTTTTTAGTAAAACATAATGTAATAGTCCTGGAAGATGTGCAAGTTAAGAAAGTATTCAGTGATCCTCTGAATTTAAAACCCAAACAAACCATCTTCTCTGTCTTGCTAAGATTAATGTCCTTCTTGTTCCTCTTGCGTGCTTTGGAGTCCTCAATGTCAATCAGCCTGATGAGGGGCATGGTTCCTCCTCCCAGCAGTAAGATCGTGAACAGAACTATTATAATCGTTGTTGTCCCAATGAGCTGCCGTTTCTCAATTGGTTCCAAGCCCAAATGGAGGCTGAGGGCATAGGGAATTGCACCACGTAAACCTTATCAGAGAGAAGAGTAAATCAATGAAGAGTGAATCAGCAGCTACATTGGTCCTCAGCACCCTGATAAATCAACAGGAATGCTCCATCTTCAAAAGATTTTTACAGTCCTATAGCATGTCCCTTTATCATTTGGTTAGCATCCTAAATTGAATCTGAGTTCTTCAGATACTGTTGTTTAAACTGTGAAGTTGCTGGAACTAGAAAGAAAAGCAGATTCTTTGCAGAAAAGCTTTAGTGGGAATCACCACTATAGTCCTCTAGCACAAAGGGGAAAGAGAGCCTCTCTGTTGCACTTGGGTTTGAGAACACTGCAAATGTTGAGTTTTGCTCCCCAGATGGAAAACCAGTTCCTCCCAGAGTAGCCCAAACAGTGATAAAATATTTTTTCCAGTTCTCTGTACCTCGAGCTTTAACTTACCGCTAAACCACATGATAAACATCATTTTGGGGGTGATTTTATGATCACGGAAAAAGTTGAGTAGGTAGGAAAGCGGGAAGATGTTCACTGCTCTACCAAACAAAACAAGGACCTGAAAAACAGAAATAAAAGCGAAAGACCATTTGATGTGTTGCATTCGCTCAGGCCCCAGTTCCATCTGGCTTGTACAGGGTAAGGTGAACGTGCTCTTTCCACTCGCAGGTCTTACAAGTCGGTGTGCTGCTAAACTAACATCAAGAAACCTCTCAGCATAGGTCAGTGTGGAATTTAACTTTTTAAACATTTTGTTGGCCTAACTGAAACTAAACCAGACTTGTCACTGACAGAGTCCAGACACTGCTTTACTGATAATAAATAAATGAAACCCAAGAGGCATTCCAGGGGACCAGGAATTACTGTGGGTAAAAGTTCTCCTCAGCTCAGCTCCTTTAATCATTCCCTTGGCACAGCAGCTAAGAGGCAATAAGATATTTCTACTGTCTCCCCATGGATGAGTTCCTTGGAGAAAAAGGCCAGAAGCCAAACAAATAACATGTAATTCAGTTCCTCAACACTTCCCTGGGTATGGTTATAAAACATACCACACATCGAAGCAACATTTTGAGAGGGGAAATAAAAAAAGTGCTATTGATGTAATGGCAGACAATTAACAAATACGGTGAAAAGTTTAACTCCGAAAGGACAAGCTTTTCCCAATGGCATTGCTTTTTCGCTCTACCACAAACAGACTTTGATAAGGTAAATATCCTTGAATTAGTCATCAGGATCCTTGAAGGGCTGTGCTGTTTTCCTTTATGAATCACCCCAAAATTACACAATTTGCATTATGCCCGTGAGGGCAATGCTACATAGAAGGAAGTGTCACACCTTTGATATATATTAGATAAGGAAGTTGGGTGTAATGCAGGGAGAGCAGTTCCCCGTGCTGATATCACTATCTGTAAACTGTAGATAACAATTCTTCCCTTGAACCATGGACTAAAATGCACTGGTATGAACTGCTCTGCGTGACTGGAAATGGATTCACATTTCCCTCTTTTGCCTCTGCAAGAGAGAACATACTTTTCATGCCTGTATTCAGCAATTATAATAGCAACAGGTGTAGGTAACCCCCAGGTGAGACATAATGCAAAGTGCCACTACAAAAAGCTACACTGAAATACAGCATGAAAGCAGAAAGAATTAAGAATGGAGTCAGAGAATGAAGACAGACTGGAGAATGTTTTTACTCAAACCTCTGATGAAGGTGAGCTCGGAGTGATGTACAGCTAAATTGGTTTATGTAAACAAAGAGCAATAGATGAGAGGGAGACTCAAAAGCTGTTGTCCTGGAGAGCTGAAATGGAGCAGAGTTTGATACTCGTTTGCACTACACTTTCTACGAGCTGCCCATACACACAGACCGTTCCTACGGAGCTAAAGATACGTAGAAACTCAGGATTGTTGTCTAGTAAAATAACCTCTGGAATAAAGTGGCATGCATAATAATCGACATATTTTGAGATTTCTTTTATACCAATAAATCTAATAGGATCCAAGCAAGCAAGGCTCTTTTCCTTGTTTTTGATAATCTTATACAGAAGGGCTTCAAAATAACAGTAAACTGGAATTCCTTACAGACAACTAATGTATTTGTACACCGAAGTGCTGAGAACAAGAAGAATAGTTTCATGCTATCAGTGAGAGTTAACTTTGTGCAGTATATAGAATTATTTTCATAGAAACCTATAAAAGATAACAACTGTTCTAAAATACTTGAACTGTAAGGTGTTTTCCCCCTCCCCAATACCAAAATCACATCTAAACAAGGATGGAAGAAAGTAAATACCTACTATGCACCAGATGACAAAGGACATTTCAAACTTGTGAGGAAAACTAAAAATGGACAGGCCAAGAAATGCAAAAACACACGTTTCTGAAAAAGAGAATAAACAATTCTATAGGCTACTACATACACTACATAAAATAGTATTTCCTGATTTTTGAATGCACAAAATAGGCACAAATACCATTATGCAAAGGCCAGATTCTTCCACTCTCGCTGTCGGGGGACAGCACTTAGTCTGTGTGTGTAGGCTTTTTTCAGCTGTAAATTACTAATGAGTATGAACACAGCTAACAAAGCCTTATTCTAAAGCGTGAGGAATTTTTTACTTGAGGAACACAGGACAAACTGCAGAAAAGCTACAGGGGCAGCGATTAACAACTTCTGTAGCTTTGAATCAAATTCTACATGAAACTGAAATGCCAGGAACAATCTAAAAATTGCAAGTTGAAAACTATTATAAAGTATTTGATTCATTAAATTCTTATAAACAGCAGCAGCTCATGACCTTCCTTATAAAAAAATACTGCACCGTATGATCTAACCACCCTTGCATAGTCTAGCAACCTCTAGATAGATGCTTGCAAATCTGAAATAGTACCACCGCTGCACAACTACAGTAATCCAAACATTTTATTTCCACAGCACCAACCCCACTGCCGTCAGAGAATCGCAGAACTAAGATGTTGCGTCAGTTCACTGCTGTCCTGGCGAGGTAGGTTCCTTATCATAAAGGCAGTTAAAAACTGGACGGTTTTGGACAGGCAGTAGAAACACCAGAGTTACAGCAGCAGAAAACATTGTTTGGTCATGCTCTGGGTACTGGCTACTTGCATTTGCATGTTCAAACCTGCTGCAAACGTGTAGGAAACTGCTCAGTATCTTAAATAACTCCTTTACAGTGAGTTGAATGAATATGTGAGTTTTTTAGCCTTTGCCACAGGTTAAGACCAAACCCTGCTGAGCTACCAGTGCTCAGGCAATGAGTGGTTTAGTTTTCAGTAAGGCCACTCCCTGACCATGTTCCAAATGCATCATTCCTCCAAACAATATGGAATACATTCATGCCATTCCCTAAGAAACAGGGATATATTTCTAATATGGAAGTATGTAATTTCTTCGAAAGTTTGCCTTGTAAAAGGAAATGGAAAGGCTGTGGGACTCTGAGCTGCTTGTACCACTACTTCCAAAAACTTTCCCCAGTTTGTGAAGCTACTGTTTCTGGCAGTGGCTTTTTATGTCCAAAACCATTAAAAAAATACTGCTAAAAATAAATCTCCTAAAACTAAAAATAGACTCAAGGAATGTAGGAGTCAGAGGGCTCTATTCAGTTATCAATCTTGTGGCAAATCTTAGCAGGAGCCTGAGGGATGGGAGAGAGAGATTTACTGCATGCTGTGTCCAGTATGGCAGGAAAGGTGACTTTCGACTGCCTTCCAGCCTCCACTCTTAGGAATTCTGCTCTTACAGACATGTACCAGACATACAAATGGCTAGAAGAAAATTCACGCCTCTGCTGCTCCTAGCAGAATCACCATTTCAGGCAAATAAGATTTTAAACTATTAATATTAGATATTAATAGTGGGTAGCACCTACCACACATGAAAGCAACGGTTCTCAGTGTCTGCTGCATTAAAATCTGTGTCACCGGGGACAAGTTATGGTGTGTGTAGTGAGACATCACGATGCCAGAGAAGAGGATTGCCATGATACCTGTAGATAAAAACGTGGCAGTGAACAGAAGAATAGCTTGCACTCTGCAAGGATTTGTGTTTATAGCCTTGCTAACACAAAAGCTTACGAAGCAAGAAGTGGGCTTTCTATTACCATTGTTATTCATACTGGTCCCATTCCACTAGTCATATTAAATACTAGGAGGTCCAGTATAGTTCACTTCAAGCTAGAATAAATCCCTGTTATGTCACGTTTTCCCATAAACGTGAGGGAAATAAAAGCCAATTCTTGAATGTTTTCCTGCTTTTCAGTCTCCTAACAGGCAGAGAGGTGCGATCAAAAGAATAAAAACAATTTGAGAATAGCAGGGCTGGAGAACTGTATGATTCACTTCTCCCAGAAAGTGTGTCATTCTTTCCTACCTGCTGATCAGCCAGGCCCAGTCACTCCCCCAGAAACAGAATGAGACCAGCAGGGCATGGGTGTGAGTCCACTCTGGTATGATGCACCACATCTAACACCGTAACAAATTATGAACCAAGAGCACACACAGGTGCACCCCGCACTTTTCTAATAATCTGAGAATCAGAAAAGCTATTGAGACTTGAGAATTCAGGGCAAAAATTACCTTTGTAGGAATCACAAATCATTTAGGTTGTAAAAGACCTTTAAGATCAAGTCCAACCATGAGGAAGGTACAGCCTGATACGTGGAGTCTGCGAGGAATGCTACTGTGCTGACTGTCCCTTGCCTCCAGCAGAAAGGGTCACTAAACCACCTGCTGTATGTCACTAGAGAGATCAGCTATCAGCTGTGGGAACAGGCACCACATTCTCCATTAGAGAGTTCAGCTGCCTTTATGACAGGCACAGCTCTGACAGAGGCACAGCAACTGATGTCACAGGCCTGAGCAGCTGCCTCAGATTTCACTCTATTTCACAAAGCTTTGATTTGTGTTGGGGATTTTTTCCATCTACCTGGGTTCCCAGCTCTTGGTTATTTACAGGAAGAACATGAATTTCAACCTATTTCGCTAACTGCTCAAGATGTATCAGAGATGCTGTCAGTTCTTCAGTGTTTATAGGGTGCTGGATATCTTAAAGGAAGTTTTAAGCATTTCCACGACTGCTGCATAGATCTACACCTGCAAAGGGTGTCATGTGAGATGACGGTTAGGGTTGTGGAAAAATTTAGTGGTCCGCCTGAAGGACAACTCCAGTACTCCTTGTGAGGACCAAAACTGACAATATAACCCGGAAGAAATCAACTGCAACGCAGATCTCGAGAGGACAGGATGACACATGGGAGTATGCCAGCTTTGCCCAAAACAAGGGAAGTTTACAAGACTAGAAGTATTTGTTTGGCCAGGAGTGGCCCACATGAACTGGAAGGATTAGAATAGTACAGTCAAAAGAATCCTTTGTTTGAAACACAGAGGTGACCCGACTAAGGTCATTCAAAGTTTGTATTTCTCGAGAAGTCATTCTTGAAGGCACCTGAGCAAATTAGAGAGGTTGTCTTTACCCATAAAATAACAGAGAACGTCTGTCATCCCAAGAGTAACTAACTAGGAATCTTACTGTAAATTCCTTTTCATCATATACCGACAGCTGTTTTGGGTATATAATGTAATGTCACTGAAATTCTGTAATATTTTATTATAATTTTATATTAATAATCATTATAAATAATAGAAAAGGCCATGTGTTGAGACCCTCCAGAATAAGCTTCTCACAAGGCAAATCTTGTTTTTACAGCAATACAGATATTTTAACATACCGAATTGCTTGCTCAAGTTTCATATAATTTCATTCCCCTACATATGTGTTGGCCTATACACACATTCAGAGCAGTTCTGGATGCCAGTGGGCAGAATGGAATGTTTGCAATAGTATTCTACGTCTTGATTGTGTAACTACAATGATTACAGGCCACATCTTCATACATATACAAAAATACAACTCCACCGACATTAGTGAAGGTATCCTGATACACACTCCTACAGATCCACTCCAAAATATTCACATTAGCTCACGCATACATTTTCAGAAAGTCTGACTTCATACCTGCAGCTCGTTCACTATAAATCTAGTCCTGCTACTACTACTCACATACTTTTATGGCTACTTTTTTTAGGCTAGACATTATCTAAGTTAGCTGATATGGCTGCAATCTACAGCGTGCACCTGAAATCCTAATTCTGTGTTAGGCAGAGATTACAGGGGAGAATACTAGTATTTACACCAGCTAACTAATGCTGATGCAAACTGCAATTATCTTTTCTATACTTTTATTAAATGAAGTAGAGAGTAAGTGTTTCTTTCAAGTAATTCAAAGTTAAAAATCAGAGCACAAGTTAAACGAGAAAACACGTAAAAACCCAGGGCCCTCTTAGACAAAAATAATTGCTACTCCCTAAACTTATCAAAGCAACTTGCACATACTTTGCCTCGTACTCTCATACTCACCTGAGAGCGAGATACCTTCTGCAAGTCCATAAGGAAGGTATGCGAAGATAATCATCATCCCAAACTCTAGGGAGGGTGTCTTCCTTAAATCAATGTGCTTTAGCACGTGCACATGAAAACGTTATGGAAAAAGTAAATTAAAAACATTTCAAAGAAAAATTTAAATCTGTGCCATTCCATTACATTACAAATATTATGCTTAAGGTACGTATCTGTTGAATATCTAATACAGTCACTTATGTTTAAACAAAAATAATTTCCTTTTAATACTCAAGATATTTAAAACTCAGGTTACATCTGGAGTCATATACGTGGCTGCAAGTTCTGCTTCACAACTCGTGCATGGTTCTGCAGCACAGCTGCCACGTACAAGTAGGTTTTGCCTCAGACATCGTTATTTGCCAAACTAAGCATATAACCAATCTCCTCTGTTCAGTCACCAAACTTCTAGTTACTTCAAAATGGGTATGACAGATTTGCAGTAATATTAACAATGAGGAATATTCCTTCAATCACATCCTTTCCTTAATGCTTAAAATACTCCACCTACCTTCTTTGTTAAAATTCAGAGGAATAGATGTCCATGACATGGAAGTTCACATTCCTCCTGGGTCACAAACCAGCAACAACATTCAACTATATTTATCTGCTGGAAACTAAAGAGATGTCCTTTGCGGCACTGAAATTTTTCATGCTTAGGGTAAAGCCAACACTTCGAGGCACAAGTAACTGTAACAAGGCAAATAAGCTGCTTTTCTCTCTGTCTTAATATCATTTAGGTATCAGTGAAAGAAGTGTTGAACATCTGTCTCCCTCTTTCGTTGTGATTTATGAAATAATTTAAAAGGTCATGGAATCAGGCTAATGAACCAAGAGAGGAAATACATCTATATTTACTCAAACACTCTGTTCTTGTTATTTACAAACTAAGTGCTTAGCAGTAGGTCCCAGATGAGGTAAGTAACTGTTGTACAAGCCCAGCACAAAAGATTACCTACAGTGAAGCCAGTGTTAATATTAAACAAGCTCTGAAGAGTAACAAAGGTGTCTGACTTACAGCAAACATCCTTCCTTATCTCGGCAGAGAAGCTTCTGGGTTCTTTTAGCAACCAATTCACGGAAGTGAAAGAGACAAAATATAACTCAATGTAAATCCAAACAGAACAGTATCTGGATTCAGCTGCCTGAATGTGATACATAAGGACAAATGAGCTGGTCTGGCTCAAAACCCCTCATGAAAAGCAGCTTTTTTTTTTTTCTTTTTAATTAACTGGTTTATGTAGGTAAAAAAAAAAGGAGCCATATGCTTGTAAAAATGGATCAGTATTGAAACTGAATTAATATATTTTGAATTTACAAAAAAATCACCATATTTTATAACACTCCAATGCATGTAACATATGCTACTATACAGCATTTCAGACCTTAATTATGTTCATTAAAATTTGATGCAACTTCTCAGTACATACCCATGCTAATAAAAAAACAAAATGAGCACGAGAAAATCCTCAGCTAATAAAATAATGTCTAACAAGAAATATCCCATGAGAAATGCTGGAGGACATTGGAAAGAAAAATACTATTAAATTACTGAAGTTCATCAATTTATACATGTGTATCACCACAAGTAAAAAAGGATATTAATGCAGAAATAAGACCAGTAAGTGTGCCAAGCGCTGCGGAGCCAAAGAACATCTTAAGAAAGTATCCCAGTGCCTGTAGAAAGGTTTGCCATCCACTTACATCTGACATATTTTCTCTTGTCAAACCTTCTGCTGTGCTAGATGTAATTAAAAAAAGAGAAACGGTTATAAATTCTAAGGCTGGATCTAAAAATACCAGACATCTTTTGAGAACAACAACAAAGACGACTTCCACTTCTTTGTTTCCAGCACTCTTAAAAGGCTTTTACTGTGATATATATAACAAGAGGAATGTCAAAAGATGTTAGATCAAGTCTTAGTGTAATCCCCAAAGGGAAACTTAATTCTGCTAAAAATCTGGAATCCGGTATTGCTCTTCTGAAGAATGCCCAGAATGGCATAAATAGGCTATGAGAATGCCCAGTATTATGAAACAATTTTCAAACTCTGAAAAGGAAAAGAAAACACATTTTGCAGTGGTAAAAAACTCAGGGCATGGGAAGAAAAAAAAAAAAAAGATGGATCATGTGATCCGCTGAGAAGAACAAATGAACAGGAAGACCTCTCATCAAATATTTAGGTGTGGATGACAGATAAGAAGGTCACAGAAGAAAAACAAAGAAGCTCTTTGGAGGAAAGGGGAGAAATCTCTTTAAATGCCAGGAATGTATTTCATAGAATTCCATGCAAAGATGACATGGATCCTAACTAGTGTTCTTTTTGACTGCTGTTAGCCTTCATGGTCATCCATAAAAGAACCATGACTGCATGAAAAGCAATTAGCTCATTAAAAAATTACTCTAACTTCACTATCTTCGTAGTATATCTACTCTTTCTATACATTCATAGTCACATCTATTGACTTCAGCAATAACATAAAGAAAAACCTATATTTTTCACTCTTTCAGCCTCAAAGAATTATCATGGGCAAAGGGTAAGGATACTGGATGTTATTCTTCCCTGTGATAGCCCCAACATAAATATAAAACTATTGCATGGATGTTGATGTGTCCCCCCTCCAACTGAAGCCAATGATAGAGAAGAGACAGCTGCGTATTTGGCAAGGTAAATATTTTTACGCAAGCCAGAAAGGACACACGTTGGTTTTCTGCTGTCAGGACCCTCAGGTGGAAAGAGAGCTGGTAAATATATGGACTTAGAAAGCAATCAATTATCTGGGGTCAATGACATGAGGTAGTGGTAATTATCCATCTGTTTACTGTCTTCTGCCTATGCAGTTTATGTTATGGATTGCTTTTAACAAAGAAGGATCATACAAAATTCAGCTTTACACCAGAAATGCATTACTTGTTCCAAATGGAGATGGAAGAATTACTGTATAACTGAATAACTAACAGAAAATAATGTGCTTGCTCTTCAAATGAACTTACTTGGTCAAGACAATAGAGACTGCATCATTGAGAATGCTTTCCCCAAACACCAACATGTTAAGTACAGGATCCACATTGAGGGCATTGAAAATGGCAATAGTAGCCACAGGGTCAACTGCAGATATTAAAGAGCCGAATGCAAAACTGGGAGAATACAAAACAAAAAGAGAAAACTAGGTGAAAGAAAAATATGTACCCAGTAAACTTGTATGAACAACGACTAACAAAGATGTTAGGTGTTACAATTTCTACACAGTGAAGCTATGCTCTCTTCTCATTTACAAGAACTTACAGGGATGAAAAGGAAGTTTTTGTTTTTCATTTACTGATAAACCAAAGACAAAGTTGTCCAGCTGGAAAAGATGTTGGTGAAATACCTCTCTCCCAGCTCTCAACAACAGTATCTATGTCTTACTCCAACTAAGTAAGAAAAAATCGGAGGAATGGGAAACCAAACGATTTTACAGACACAGCCCAAACAATGTATCACTCATGCATAGTGTTACCTGTTCAGGAGTACTACAGAGAAACATTTAAAAGGAACTGCTAAAACTTCAATACTTTGGAATCCAAAAACAGACAATACAGAGGAATGGGACCACTCAGCTGTGTAAAGTCAAACGCTGGAACCAAGGAAGGAAGATTTTCACTGTTCATGCATGTTTTACTTGTTATGTTTCTTGCTTGCCCCATAATTAATTAATTTTAACAGAAAACTGCTGTATTGTCTATACAACAAACAAAAAAATCCCAAATAAACCAGGAAGAGACTTTATTTAATGGTAGGGTGGTGTACTCCTAAAACAAATTATTAGATCCTTTGCCAAGTTCTTCAAAAATCTACATTATTGATAGTGAAAAACTCATTCCATCTTTTAATAGAGTATCTGGACAAGGAAGTTGTACCCTTATCATATATAGTATTAATGCCAACTAATCGAAGTTTACATATTTTAACTTTAAATGTTGATTAAAAAACCCAGTATCTTTCCTGGCACTGAGCACAGAATACTATTTGGAAATAAGGGTGTAATAAATAGGGTTTAGAAGTGTTTGATCTACTTATTAGTTTCATACACCATGTTGACTCCAATCAATCTAAACAATAACCAGAAGAGCTGGCCAACTACAGTGCATTACCCATATACAGCTGTCTTCAGGAGTGCTTCAATTTATATACTACACCATTTCCCCAAGAGCTTACCTGTCTGTCATGTTGAGTTTATATATTACATCAGCCTGAAAGAACAGGTAAAACATTAAAAAAAAAAAAAAATCACAATCAACTGTGTTTTTCTGCTGTTTTTAAAAATGAAATTATTCATCAAATCCTAAGTTCGTTATTGTGAAAAGGAATGGAAATCTAAGAGGCAAAGAGGAAAGTATGGGTTGTTTGACCTACCAGCACAAAGTCTGAGAGAAAATATAATTATCTATGGCTACATCTAATCAATGGGGAAACATCAAAGCAGAGAAGCAAAAATTACTGACAGAACAAGTAAGTTTGATACTGGAAATCAGAAGATGGCTCTAGAGAATACAGGTTTTGGAACAGCCTTCTGATAGGAAGACGGAGTAAGTAAAAAAAAAGTACAACTCAAGTCTTAATTGCTTTTAACATGAAACATGCTGTATCTGTGAAGGGGTTATACAACACTGCCTCTGTGATAGCAGAGAACTGGACTTTGTGACCCAGGAATTCCCTTTCACTATGTTTGTCTGCTTTTGAAAAATGGACTTTCAAAAGGGCAAGTCAGATAAACTTAAGTGCTTCAAAGCAGTTATTCTTACCTGGCCCAGGAAATAAATTCCTCCACCTACAATGAAAGCTGATATTGCAGTGCCAAATACAGAAAATAGAGTGATGGAACCGATGTTCTGAAAAAAATTACCCTGGAACACAACAATAAAGTAAATAAATTAGTGAAAATGATCTAAGGGAAAATTCATGTTTGCACCTGAATTAGATTCTGATTCCCAACTGGGTTTCCAATAATAACGCTTCGTTAGTTTGGTTCCAGGTACCCCAGGACATATATCCACACCATTTGCCTGAAGAGCCAACTCTCTTGAGGGCAACAGCAAATCCCTCTGACACCCAGAACAGGATGTCAGTCTGGTACCCTAACAACAAACAAATGCTCGGACAAACAGCTGGATAGTCACCAGCATTTTGACACATTCCCCACCCGACAGAACTGTAAATGAATCCATCTTTTGTAGACAGGGCATGTGAAAGAGGCTTGTAAACTTCCCAGCTGCTAGTCCAGTTTTTAGGCTGTGATTTTGTATGTAAAAAGACCTGCAGTGTTGCTACCAACTCATGCTCTTACTGTCGCCCACTGCTCACTTCCTCTCCCGCAGCACAGCTCAAGGAGAAAGGGAGCTCACAGGGAGGACCAGAACCACTTCAGCCAGGACTAGCGCTGTGAGAAATGTCCATGGACACACAGGCTCCCAGGCAAAGGATGAAAACCCTTGTAAACGTTTTCCTCTTCTTTAGCTATGGAGTGACCCCACCCTTCCCTCTTCTGATCCTACTCCTTCCCATTTTGCCTCCCTTTGCCTCCATCAGCCCTTGTACAGCCCTGACGAGGTAAGAAACCCCTTAAAAAACCACCTCTGCGCAGTACCTAACACCTTGCCAACGTTCAGTCAACAGTAACAAGTTACATTCCCTGCATTCTGGATTGAAGAGGCTTCAGTTTTGCATTTTCAATTCCCCACTGATTAATACGATGGAATTCAATGCAATTACTCTAAACTCATGTAGATAACTAAAAGCAGAATGTGTTCCAAACTAAACCTCAACGTGTAAAATGAGTGTCTGGCAGGGACTAACCTTGTGCAATGAATATCCAGATTCAAATATAATAGGTGGAAGCAAAAGCAGAAAAAACATATTTGGACGAAACATTTCTTCTTCCTGTAAAACAAATGAGGTATAATTCCAAAAATATCATAATTCTTGAAATAACTTCAAATCTTCCAAAAGAGACATGACTTAAAAAAATGAAAATGGCATTAATCTTTCTCCCTTCTTATCACAAAATAAAAGACTGAAGAATAGTAAACTACTCCAGGGCTGCTACATCTATTGGTGTTTTTTAATCCAGTGACAGAAGTCTAGCCATTACTTATTTTATACTACTGTCTCCAAACAAGCTGCACAGAAAACAGGCTATTTATGGCAAAGTCTTTCTGTTTCCACAAAAAGTATTCCCATTTCATCTCACAGTCTCAAAATACGTAAGGACTGTCAAGGAATGGTGACCTCTTGGCCACTGGTCTGAATATAACCGAGGTTACCTTTGACCAAGTACAGCTTCAGTAGAAAACTCATCACCTGACAAACAGAAATCAGATCATCATCTCAGAACACTTCAAGCCAACAGGCTCAAGACATATACCACTGTTAAGAGTCTGAGGCTTGATATTTCTTGGCAAAAGTAACTTCTGCCTGTAATTTAATGGTTCCATTCTGATGGTCCCTTTTTACCACCAGAGGGATATAAATGAAACCTATCGTGAAGGAAAATGTTATTTTTTGTGACCTTACTCTTTGTCCCCTACCTCATCCCTTGGCTAGCACTGCTTTATGGAGCTGTACCTCCAAACTGGCCCTTGTTTTTTTCTGCTGGCAGACTAAGCACACAGGGCAAAATAACCACAGCTGAACGTGCCTCTGTCTCTTTACTCACCAGGCTCCCTCCTGGTCGCCACAGTTCTCAACACAGCAGAACTTGTCACCTTTGTAAGTAACGATTAATTTGTTTAAATCCAGGTTAAACAGCTGATCGACTGTTCCGTTAAAACACCAGTGTTCAACAAAGAAGTACTGATCTCTTTAAAGTCTCATTCCTGTCTGTACCAGCGATAATCATCTTAAAGGATTTGAGGGACTTGGAAAATAAACCCCATCCTTTATACTGAAATGCTCTAGTTCGTTATCCTGCGTGCACAGCTCCGTGTGTCAGTGGCTAACACCACCTAGTTTCTGTCAATACAGGAACTGTGCTATAACAAAAAAAATCCAAACACCCGATTAATTACACAGTTTAAAAGCCCCTGAAAGCAGAACTGGACAAGGAGGTGAGAAATAATGAAAAGCAAGGACTGCATCTGTGCTGCATTAAAGCGGAGACCAGGAGAGTCGAACATGAGGACTGTAATTATGGGCCATGCCAGCCAGCCAAGAATCACCAGCGAGTCCGAGGTCCGCTGAAGACTTAGTAAGGCGTAATTGCAAGAAATTACATTACAAAGTTCTTAGGGCAGGGATATGATCCAAGATTTGCTTTGTACTCAGATATAGCCTGCAGGTAAATTTAAAAACATCTAAAAACATTTAAAACCGTTCTATAAAATACATCATAATTAGAGATAAGAATATTTCACATCTGAAATTATGACAGCCTATGGTAAAACCTAAACTTTAATACAGTGAAAATAACTTAAATAAGCAATAATGTGGTATCTGTGACCCTTTCCTTAGCTGATAACGTGAGCAACTGGACAGAGCATCCCCAGCACCTCCCAAGATTTGACCAATGCTTACCAGAAACAAACTATAGAATTCACTAGCTCAGTATTTCCTGTGTTTATACAATCAATGCTCAAACCAGAAAATACTTTAAGCTTTCTGTTTTCCTCCTACCTGTGTGATCTTCAGATTATTTTATTTAACCAGTAAGAAAATATTTTAAAATGCTGATGTTGTGGCTGTTTAACTGACTTTCAATTTTACGTTGAATCCAGTTGACACAAATCGGGAATGAAAAAGCCACTAACTAGTGCACCCCTCACTGCTTCTAATAAGTAAATATGTAAAAATGAAGTATCACAACATGACTCTTGAACTATGTAATTGCTTAAATGAATGTACACAGAATTAGTGTAGTTAGTTGACAAAAAAAGAAGCATAATATGCAATTAAAAAGCTACAGCTGATTGAAAATCTATGCATTTTAATGTATTTCAACTAAGGAGAAAAAACCTTCCTTTAGGGACGTAGCTGCCAAGCAATAGCTGCAAGCTAGGATTAAAATTCACTACTCAGACCAAGATTTTCAGCTTGCTAATATAAATCCTGTTTAAAACTGGAGATTCAAATCACTGTGATTTCAATCAGCTCACTGATCTAATCCTAATAAACTGTTTGATCCCATGAAACAAAATCACAATTTAAATACTGCAAGGTTTTAAATTAAAGCAGGAATAGTGAAGAGTTCATTGCTTTGATGATGTGGATGAACCGTAGGAGGCAAAAGCCTTGCTTCACTGTAGACTTCACCTCTTGGAGACACTTCTGCCTGGATTCTCCCCCACCCCAAGAAGACCCTGTGACTCCACAAATGCACCTCATAGCATCACACAATAGTTTAGGTTGGAGGGGACCTCTGGAGGTGTCTGATCCAAGTCCCTTCTTAATGCAGGGCCAACTAGGAGCAACTTGAACTGCTCAAGGCTTTATCCAGCCAAGTTTTGAATATCTTTGTGGATGGAGATTCCCACAATCTCCCTGGTCACGTCTTCCTATGTTTGGTTGCCATCACTGTTAACATTTTCTTCCTGATATCTATGTCTGTAAAGCACCAAGTATCAGGACAAGGATAACCTTCTGCACAGAAGCTATGCCTGTACTTTCTGTGGGAAATAAAGCTCAAATTGCTTCCATTGTCTCAGCCAATGTGAAAAATGCTGCTGCTTCAGGCCCACCGGTTTCAGCAGTCTTCCCACAAGAAGCAGTGGAGTACCCAAGAAAGATACCATGCTGAATGAATTGCTTTGTGAACTGTCTCTTCTTAGCACCATGATTTGTTGTTTTAAGCAGATTAAATACATAAATAACATGACTTTTAGCGCAGCTATTCTGAAGAAGTGCTCCTTTTTACCTCTGTGAAATTTACATTAACATCTTCAGGTAATGCGTGACTTTACAACCTATCAAAACACATTGTTTTCTATGAAAACACCTACAAATTTAACTCCAGAAGGAGAAAGAGGACTAAATACAGACAATAAGTATACAAGACAAATAACTGAATTGCTGTATTTTTTACTATAACTGATCCCAGAGATGACCAGTACTGCCTTCTACCATCTATGTAATGGGCACAGATTTGGTACAGTAAAAAGAAATACTCTGTGAAAAAAATATTGTGTAGAAAATGTTCAGTGGGATCAGGAACCCAAATTGGCTGTATTATTATTTAAAAAAAACCCCCAAACTTTGGCATCAAGAATAATGTATGTAAGTTTTTGGAAATTAGGATCTAAAGAAACTAATAGTACCATCTTATTTTAAATATTTATGGATTGTTCTACAATTAAAACTTAATTGCTTCAAATATACCTTCCAGTTGGCCAGCTTCTGAGCCTCTATGATTTTTATAAAAGCTCCCATAAGGATACCTAGGAGAGAATGAGAAAACATTCTGAAATATTCACAAAACACATCACTGTTTCCATTAACTGTTCATCGACTCTCAGTCAACAAAGTTTTCAAAGTGAAAACAATCTAAAAAGACAAAAGCCTTTCATTCCTAAATCACAAAAATACAAAGTCGTTTTGGGTCCGATACATGACCGTTTCCAATATGCTACATAATTACGCAGCTTCCCTACAGAGATTGTCACTTGGGATATCCAAATACCGAACACGCCTACTGAGAGAGCTGGGCTCATTGGTTCACAAAGGTGAGAGGTTTGACTACTCAAGAACGCTTCTTGGCTAAGCTGCATTCAAATAAAATTCTACCTCTCTTGCTAAAGAACCAGGAAGTTACGAGTTAGATATCTGTGTGGCAGCACAAAACCTTCATGTCACTTCAGTGCTATCTGCAGCAGTAACATGGCTTAAGTGACATCAGCTTTCTCCACAGCAGTGAATTTTGTCTCAATGAAATCATAGCCCTTACTGGCAATGAAGTTGGCAACAAATTCTGAGCAGGGTGGAGACACTGTCCAAACTATTTCCCAAATGAATTAAATGTCTTTTAAATCATGTAGAAATACTAATTTGAGTATAAAATAATTTTATCAAGGGTGCTGCAAACTCAATGGTTAAAGGATATTGTGCTCGTTCCTCCTTTACACAGATGAGACAGAAAACTGCAAACTAACAGGATTTCTTCTGGAAGCCATGAAGATAATTCATGAACTGTCATTAATCGCTTTCAAGGAGTTACGAGGAATTAGTCTTTAGTCAGATTTCAGAGCTGATTCTGCATAGTTGTACTTTATTATTTACCGAATGGAGACTTCGTAATCAAGCACTGGGATGTAGAAGTTAAATGCACTGAATGAAAGGTAAAAAGTGGCTGAGAAGCTTCAAGTATGCTTTCCTGTAACTCGTGTGTTTTTATTATCTCATGCTGTAGCTATCAAAAGAGTCTTACAAACAGCATCACATGGATTACTCCTGATGGATGTGTCATACACACAAAGCCATGAGGCTTAAGCCTTCTTTCATACAAAAATATGCATTGGTCCCAGAGGATAGAAATAATTGTTCCATGAAATGGCTTATATGGAAAGGAAGAGCAAAACATTATTGAGGGAACATCAAAGGTCTGCTCTCCTTTGAAGGAGGCCAGAATGCAGATAGAGCCGCTCACATGCCATATAAACACAGGTCTCAGTACTAACAGTCAGGCTTTCCATTCTGGGAAGGAGGCTGTGTCAGAAGCCAAGGTCTAGAACATTTCTAATTTTGCAGAGCAGCAACATTGTCTTCAACTGGTACAGGCAGTACTTGTATCACTTAACAAGAAGCTTATGCAGGCAAAACCCAAACCACAACAACCAGAGCCCTTACATCTGAAGGCACAGACAGATAAGTGTACTTCCTGAACAAACTTTTAAGTATTTTATGAATTAGTATTGAGAGCCCTCACATAAAACTATGTTTAGAGGGGATTTAAAAGAAAGGAGAATCCCTTAACTCACTTCTGGTGAACTGGAAGGGCTCCAGTGTGACTTTGTGCAATTGGACCCTGTGAGTATGCCAACCACGGCCTGTGGGCTACAGGCTGGGCATCCCTACCCTATGAGCTCGAGAGACTTAAGTAAAAGGCTGGTCTCAATCTCTTTTTTAGAGGAAAAGCTAATCACAAACTGACCCTAACAACACTGCCACGGTCAGACAAGGTCCTTTCATGATACTGGAAGTTAAATGAACAACAATACAAATGTGAGGCAGCAGTGGAGGTTAAGGGAAAAGGATGAGCCTGGATCATAAAGCTTACACTTTATATAGCATGAATTACTTCTACCTGCATACTACACACAACAGTACCGCCAAACTAAGACTATGCTAAGCAAAGTCATAAAAGAGAGCTGGACAAAATAATGCCTCTCCAAGAGGGTTTAATAGCAGCAGAAACAAACTTTGACACTGGTTTTTAAAACAAACTTTGACACTGGTTTTTAAAACCTGTCCCGCACATCTTTACAAACTGCTCTTCTTTTGTTACTAGATTAATGAACACAGTTCTTGTTCAGCTGGTTTCATCTATTAAATGAGGTAGACCAGTTTTGTTAAGGGGCTAATTGGAAAACTAAGTCTGTAAGAGTTAATCTAAGCCTCATTCTTTTGAAAATATTATAGGAATTATCTTATTACATCTAACCTTTATTTCTCCTGAGGAACACGTTAAAATTCAGCAACAAATCAAAGAAGAAAAACTCTTCTGGTAACTATTTTTAACAACAAAATTCCAATAACTTTTAAGGTCAAAGATCAAAATCTTGCCTTGGAGAATGCACTCGCACCCTGTCCACCAGGAGAGTGACACACCCTAGAAATTGTAAAATAGAAGCTTCTGAACAGCTTAGATAATGGGAGGAAAACCAGTTGTGAAAATCATACTTATCTTCTCTCCTGACATTTTTATTAGCCTTCAATAACTGCCTGAGCACATTTCCTTAATTTAAAAGTCAAAATAGGACACACCTCACTTCTGGCACTGCTAGCAGAACTGGCTACTTGAAACTCAAGCTGTGCTCTTGCAGCTGTGTACATCATTACCAGTAACAGAGGTTCACTGACCAGCAATTAGCTGGCAAGTCCAATGATTATACAGACGCCGTGTCCTGTCAACGGAGCTGAGAGTAGTTTAAATATGACTGAGTCAATCAACTAAATAAATAAGGCTTAAGTGGCACCGGACATTTCTTAGCTGGGTTGCTACTGGGTACAACATGCTCTTGACTTAATGGAATTGCATTTGCTGGTATCATCTCGCCTGGTTTGGGAGATAGCTGTGATACAGCTATGCTGTGGTTCACACCGAAAACCAAGCTGTGAAAGTTTCCTACATGCCCTCCGTGTGAAAATACAAGAGCTGCACTGCTGCTCCTTCTTACCCACCTTGAGTAGCAGTGACAGCCCCAGCAAGAAAACTTAAAACAGTTTCATGAACAGGTTTTTGTTGGGACTGACAGGAGCACAGAACATACTATAGAATCATAGAATCACAGCATGGTTTGGGTTGGAAGGGACATTAAAGACCATGTAGTTCCAACCCCCTGCCATGGGCCTTCCACTAGACCAGGTTGCTCCAAGCCTCATCCAGCCTGGCCTTGAAGACAGCCAGGGATGGGGCATCCACAACCTCTCTGGGCAACCTGTCCCAGTG